AACATGAATGACAGACAGCACGAATATTAGACTGCTGTCATTTTAAGAGCTGCCCAGATCCAATATACTGTTACACATGTGTTTTTTATCTCAGTTGTTTGCTTTCACTTAAGACCTAAATTACTGTGTTTACAAGAATACTTGCACACACACAAGTGTGTGTATTTAACCATTCAAGGCCTATAAAGTGGCAAAATAACTCAAAACTCAATACGTTCAATACTCCCGCACACTATGAGCAGTCTTCACCTTCGCACCTCTCTGACAGTGCTCAAAAACAGACTCGCAGACAGCTCAAAACTTATTTTACTTATTAAACTCACTTGTTTTTAAACCGCAATGCTTTAAAACGTGTGCAAGCGATACGTTTTCATGACCACATAGCGCAGCAACGTCACAGGAGTGTGTAATCGCGATAGTCCAAATCTTTACTGGTTGACAAATTTCTACCAGTTAATCATGTCTACCAGTATATTGCTCACCCCTAGGTTGAAGCTAAACTCTGCAGGAAAGCGGACCTCGAAGGCCAGAGTTGAGAACCCCAGCTTTAAGCCCTGTTCACACCAAGAACGATAGCTATAAAGATAACTATAAAGATAACGATATTAGCGTCCACACCAGCGGACGATATCGTCTGTTTATTCTAAGCGTAACAAAATAGATAACAAGCATCAAAGTTTGATTTCAACCATTAATCTCACTATGGTTTCAATCTTTGACATGGCCTTACTCAGTCAATATTAAAGATGTAAAGGTTATATTTTCACAAAATGTTCTACATCTTTATGAAGGATGGTTTTATGTAGAAAACAGTAAATCACAAAAAAAAAAGACTTTAGCTGGGTTTTCACAGGCAGGGTCACAATTCATTCTGAAAATGATTCCAACGATATCGTTTCTCTGTGCCTTTATCGATATAGCTGTGGTGTGAACTCTGCTATTCTTTAATATTGAGAAAGATTTGTAGAACTATATCTTTATCGTTATCTTTATAGTTATCGTGCTTGGTGTGAACGGGCCTTTACACCACTCCATTCAACGCTTAGCATTGTACATGGTGATGTGAGACTCCCACCATACAGTTTTTGTGCTGATATTAATGCAGTGAAAGTTAGGAATTCTTCAGCTATGGAATCAGCAGAGCGTTGGTGACTTTTACACACTATGCACCTCAGCTCTCGGTCACCCCACTCAGTGACTTTATCTCCTGCTTCATGGCTGAGGTGCTGCTGTTCCTAAATGCTTTCAATTTCCAGTAATACCTCTTACAGTTGACTGTGGAATATCTAGCAGTGATGAAATAACAGCCTTATTGCAAAGGTGGCATCCTATCAGAGTACCACACTTGAATTCACTGAGCTCTTCAGAACAATCAATTTTTTTCACAAATGTTTGTAAATGCAGACTGTATGGCTAGATGCTTGATTTTATACACCTGTGCCAATGGGTCTGATTGAAACAACTGGATTCAATCTTTAAGAGGTCCATATACTGTATATTTGTATGCTTGTTATTTATATACTGCTTTTAATACATACTGTTCTGAAGCAGCTTACAAAGAATAGTGCTTTACAAACACTAGTGAGCAAGCCAGAGGCGACACTGACAAGCAAAAACTCTCTGAGATGTTTAAGCTGATGAGGAAGAAACCCTTGGAGGAAGCAAGACTCAGCAAGGAGCCATTTCTCCTCTGGCTGACACATGATTAAACAAATTGAGACAAACATAAACCATAACTATGTTACACAATGTATGCTTGTTTACAATTGCAGTACGATCATAAGTACAATTGCATTTATTGAGAAGTGTCTTAAGAGTCTATGGTCTGTATTCATCATTATTGTCTGCATGTGGCAATTCTAGTGTAATTTTATTGCCTCTTATGGTCTCTTTCATGTTTGTAATCAGGCACATATGTGACGCAAATAACCGCCACTGACGCTGATGACCCTACTTATGGAAACAGCGCACGGATTGTGTACAGCATCCTTCATGGGCAGCCCTACTTCTCTGTTGACCCCAAGACAGGTGAAAGATTTATTTTTGGGGAGTTGTTGTATTTAACACATGATATTTTGCAATCTGCAGAATTCAGCACACCCTTCTGCCCAAAGCCTTTTTGCTGCTTTGTCTTTGGCATTTCATTCATGCCGTCATCTACTGATCAAAAAGTAGCTCCTCTGAGAGGGGAACTATTAGGATAGATTAGTCTTTAGAAGAATGTCACAGGTTCGCCTTTTCATGATACGGCTCACAAAAGCGTTGCAGCACAGATTAATGATGGCCTGTTCAATTCTTCATATTGCTGTAGGTCTTCTATGTCCATTAGAAGAGTGCATATGTGAAAATCCCATGGGGGTCGGAGGGGACAGGACCCCCCCATTTGAAGGTTGTCCCCCCATAAAAATATGATTAAAAACCATGCTCTGTATTGTAAATAACCTTTTATACTTTAAATAACTTTGTAAGTAGTAAAACAACACAAACGCAAACGGGGCAAAAATGGGTTTTAAGTTTAGATTGCCTCTTATGGTCTCTTTCATGTTTGTGATCAGGCACATATGTGACGCAAATAACCGCCACTGACGCTGATGACCCTACTTATGGAAACAGCGCACGGATTGTGTACAGCATCCTTCATGGGCAGCCCTACTTCTCTGTTGACCCCAAGACAGGTGAAAGATTTATTTTTGGGGAGTTGTTGTATTTAACACATGATATTTTGCAATCTGCAGAATTCAGCACACCCTTCTGCCCAAAGCCTTTTTGCTGCTTTGTCTTTGGCATTTCATTCATGCCGTCATCTACTGATCAAAAAGTAGCTCCTCTGAGAGGGGAACTATTAGGATAGATTAGTCTTTAGAAGAATGTCACAGGTTCGCCTTTTCATGATACGGCTCACAAAAGCGTTGCAGCACAGATTAATGATGGCCTGTTCAATTCTTCATATTGCTGTAGGTCTTCTATGTCCATTAGAAGAGTGCATATGTGAAAATCCCATGGGGGTCGGAGGGGACAGGACCCCCCCATTTGAAGGTTGTCCCCCCATAAAAATATGATTAAAAACCATGCTCTGTATTGTAAATAACCTTTTATACTTTAAATAACTTTGTAAGTAGTAAAACAACACAAACGCAAACGGGGCAAAAATTGGTTTTAAGAAACATTTTGAGTCTCCCCCTTCCTTGCCTCATAGTGTTTTGGTCCAAATGCCTGCCTTCCTCTTTTACATCACCTCAGTGTTGCCAAGTCCGCCGTTTTCCCACGGAATTGGGCTACTTTAACACCGTTGAAGCGGGTTGTTTTTCATGTGCGCGTGTTGAAGCGACCCCTATAACGCATGGGAATTTTACTGGAAGAACCCAGCCGAAAAACGTGCATTTTACCCCAAGGAACGTGAATTTTTTATTTTTATTTTTTTACCGGGGGACCCCTCGAAACACGATTGGGCTTGTTTTAAGTAGCAACTGGGCGGGTTTTGTTGCGAAAACCTGGCAACCCTGCATCACCTACACACACACACACACACAAGTCCGGTGAGCGAGAACAAGTCAATAGTCAATAGTTGTGGAACTCCAAGGCTGTCAAGGATATTGAGTTCATTATGTTTACTAAATTGTTTTAAGTAAATGTCACTACTCTTGGAAATTTGCATACAATTACGTGCATTTTACCCCCAGGAACGTGAATTTTTTATTTTTATTTTTTTACCGGGGGACCCCTCGAAACACGATTGGGCTTGTTTTAAGTAGCAACTGGGAGGGTTTTGTTGCGAAAACCTGGCAACCCTGCATCACCTACACACACACACACACACAAGTCCGGTGAGCGAGAACAAGTCAATAGTCAATAGTTGTGGAACTCCAAGGCTGTCAAGGCTATTGAGTTCATTATGTTTACTAAATTGTTTTAAGTAAATGTCACTACTCTTGGAAATTTGCATACAATTTTGGCAACTGTTAGATCAAGAAAGTATTTTCTAGTTTTTCTGTGCAACATTCATCTGTCGTAGGGAAGTATGTTACTGTTTAAAAGTTTAGGCTCAGTAATTATTATTATTATTTATTTAATTTTATTTTTTTTACCAGCAAGGGTGCATTCAATTAATCAGAAACACTTTTACATTGTTACAAATTGTCTATTTAAAATAAATGCTTTTGATCAAAATTTTAAAAATAAATAGCACAACTGTTTTCAACATTGAAAATAATATGTTTCTTGAGCACCAAATCAGAACATTAGAATGATTTCTGAAGGATCATGTGACACTGAAGAATGGAGTAATGGCTGCTTGTGTACAGTATATATTATTATTTTTTGTATTTATTTTTTACCATTATTTATCTAATATTGACTCTCTGTCAGTTTATTTATGGTGAAATGTATATGTTCTCACATGCTCTCTGTTTCTCTCTCTCTGCATCAGGGATCATAAGAGTTGCCTTACCCAACATGGATAGGGAGGTTAAAGAAATGTACCAGGTGGTCATACAGGCTAAGGATATGGGTGGTCAGCTCGGAGGTTTAGCTGGGACCACAACCATCAATATCACTCTCCTTGATGTCAATGACAACCCACCACGGTTTTCTAAAAGTATGTACAAAAGCAGATGTGCAGAAATCATTATAGAGTGCACTGAAGCTTACAGTATACTGTCAGCATTTCTATATCAGCAGCAGTTTATCCCTGGGGTTTATCTTAATGTGAATTTAATCTGGTTTCATATTTGCTTTGCTCTTTGGAAACCTTAAACATGAGTCCATTATTTGAATTGTTTAATTCAGTTAATGGCTGGCACTGATAACAAAGAGGGGCTATCTTCAAAACAGGGACTGAACAGTAATGCATGACCCGAGAAGAACCTCAGATTTACAATTGGCCATGATTAAGTCCTCAAGGGCTCTTGCCAAGCACAAACAACTAAATAGAGTTGGATTTGCAAATGTGATTAGCATTCTAGCACTTTTCTCCAGAGCCGCTGAAGTGATTAGTGGATGATTGTTGTTAACTACCTCTCAGAGTAATTTCTAAATGTAAAGTCTTACGTCTTTTCCTGAGGGGAGAGTTTGATGTTTGTGAATCTCGGCAGGTATCTTTCACCTGCGCGTTCCTGAATCTTCACCTGTGGGCTCGTCGGTGGGGAGGGTCAAAGCTCATGATCTGGACTCTGGGAAGAATGCTGAAGTGGAATATAGCATCGTTCCTGGTGATGGAGGCTCCATGTTTGATATTTACAGCAATAAGAACACTCAAGAGGGAACAGTCATACTAAAAAAGGTAGCGTATAACTTCTAGTACTCATTTTTAGGCATGTGACTGTTTTTATATTTACACTACTGTACAGAAGTGTGGGCTCAGTAAGACTTTTTTTTATATGTTTCAAAGACGTCAAGTCAAGTCACCTTTAGTGCTTTATGCAATACATAGCAGCTTTACATTGTTAAACAGGAAAGTAGTATATCAATAATGCAAGAGAATAGCAAACAGTCAAGTTTTCATTTAAAGCTTGTTCATCGCTGATTCAATTGTCACCATTGAGCCCAGTTCAGTTCTCTTCCGAT